CCCCCCACACACACACACACCCCTTCAGGATCAAGCGGTTGAATTCTTTAGCTATTTCAAACGAAATGTTTACGATTAGTTTTGTTTTCCGCTCGGGATGTACAGAAATGCTTCTTTTCAACGATCAAGTAGTCGATGCTTAGGCACATCTCCTAATAAAACTTACAATGTGTTGGCTACATACACCGCATGTCACTGTTCTGTTTGGTGCAAGTAATAGGCAACAAAAGGGAATGTGATGAATTACTCACTTCTACAAATTGGAGTCCGGAGTCATTCGGAAAACAAACAATCTTTGAGTCGTGGCAACGAGTCAACAACTTTAATACACAACATAAAACACCGCCCAAAGAGATGCGGCATCGGATAAAGCGAAAGCTGCCTGCTTGTATTCAGGAACAAACGATATTGCAATCTCGTGACTAACGTCCGAGGAATTCGAATATATTCAGACAGAGGTCAAAAGGTTTTTTTCGTGACTTACACGTAGTGTCTTATTTTACATGGCAAATTAAATTATCAAGTATATCAAATTTTGTTCTTGCTCCTGTCAAGAACCCTTTTCATGTTGCGCAATTTTGGACTAAAGCCACAATTATCGTGGCGGACTTAGCTCAAGACTTGCCCCTACTAAAAAGTTATCCTTTGTCTAGTAGACGCACACATTTAAACACGGACCTCCGTGGAGCGAAGGGGATAAACTGGATATAATTGAATGATAAGTCGTTTTTCAGTACGATTTGTAGTTACTATCGATTGTAGAATCAAACTATTTTGGACTGCTATGCGTTGTTAAACGTAGATTTAGTCAGGCGATGAGGTCGATTGATTATGTGTCGACACTTATGTTGCATGATGGGGTGATGGTTAGCCGTTTTGGGTGCATTCATTATTGTGCGCTCTCGTCGTATTTAAAACACTTGTCTTCCATCATAATGGATTTAGAAAGTTAAATTTCCTCAGGAATGTTCATAGCGTTTTATTTTCTCCTCTTCAAGGCACCAACTTGCGCACGAGAAACGCTAGAACGAGGGCCCCATGCTCTCCTCGCTCGCGGGTAGGATACGAATAGTACTTTCTCTTGGCGGACCGCGAGTGAAAATGAAGCTAAAAAGATATATTCAGCGGCACTGCACATAATTTTTTCGCTTAACTCTTTACCTGGATTCTCATAGCTACAGCTGACTACACTGGGTAGACAGGCCTACCTTATGGTCATAGAGATGCCATGAACAGTATCGAGACTTCTGATTCGTAAGCTTCTGAGAAGATGCTTGTTCACGCATTCCGGACCTATAGGTTTTCCTTTATCTTATGAGAGTCTTAATGTGGTAAACCTTTAGCCATAAACGGCAAAAAGTTTAGATGTTAGGGGTAAAAAATTGACAAATTTTAACCGTTTGTCTTAAAAAAAGGACACCATGAAAATTTGATTTAAATTGTTTGTTTAAACTAAATTTTGTAGCTGTAAAAGCCTTCACCTCCTTGAAACCCCTTTTATTTAACCAGAGATATATCAGATGTGCATGGGTTACGGGGTTACGTA